GAGAGAGAGAGAGAGAGAGAGAGAGAGAGAGAGAGAGAGAGAGAGAGAGAGAGAGAGAGAGAGAGAGAGAAAACACAGAGAGCCCAGGAAAGAACACTCATGACAAGGGGTCAGGAAGAGGATGAAGAATGAATAAATCCATGAAGCCTAAAAGAGGAAAACAAGACAGAATAGTATCACCAGAACCAAGGAAAGATCACGGGATCCCAGACCTGCTGAAGAGCCAAAAGAGACCTTAGAGGACAGCTAGGTTAACCCCTTGATTTTACATATGAAGAAACTGAGGCCCAGGGAGGAAGGATAAGTGACTTGCTTAAGGTAGAGAGTGCCATGCCATGAACCCTATTCCTCTGCTTTCACAGCCAATTATTTAAAAAAAAAATTATATATACCATGCTGGAGAGTATCCAGCCAGCAACAATGTGAGAAGTCACAGAGAGGTCAAGGAGGCTGAGAGCTGAGAAAAGAGGCATTGGCTTTGCCAGGTAAGAGAATGGAGTCCACTTTGGAGACAGGCAGTGGCTGTTGAGTGGTGGGGCCAGAGGCCAGATTCTTAGGCAGCTAAGGAGAGTGGGAAGTGGGGAGGTAGAGACTGAGCAGCTAAGAGGACTTTTAGCAGGGGACTGGCTGTGAAAGGGAAGAGAGACATGGGATGATAACTTGAGGGGGTGGCAGAGAAAAGTGTCTTAAGGATGGGGGAAACCTGGGAATATTTGTAGGTGATCCCAGTTATAGAGAGGCAGCATGACTTTAGACATCAAGGACTGGCCTTAAGGTCAGAAAAGCTGTATTCAAGTCCTGATCTCACTAATACTGAAAGTGTAACCCAGGGCAAGTCACTGTCTTCTCAAAGGAATTTTAAAATTACAAATTGCAGAGATAGTGTCAATCTGCATTGCTAGGGGGAGTTTCTTTATCCAGGAATTTTTAGATAGAAGATATCACAGTAGGGAGGAAGTAGGGAGAAGAAACACAAGTACTTATTAATCACCTCCTATGTGCCAAGCATACACTTTGCAAGTTATTACCTCATTTGGTCCTCACAACAACCCTGGAAAGTAGGTGCTATTATTATCCTCATTTTACAGTTGAGGAAATGGAGGCAGACAGCAACTAAGTGATTTGCCTAGTGTCACTCAGTTAGAAAATATTTCAGGTAGGATTTGAACTCAGGACTTCCTAACTCTAGATTCTATCTACCGTGCTTCCTAGCTCTAATCCCTATTTCTATTTTCCAGTTGATGAGATTAGCTGAAACCTTTCTAGAGAAATTGAAATTCAAATAGGCTGATCAAGGAAATAATGAAACTAACAGGGGCTCTTCTACCCTTGGCAAATGGGCTGGATGATGGAATCAAAACTCTAAGCTACTGCCCTTGCCTGCATTACCTCAGCTCCCTACCCAAGCAGGGTTCCTTCATAAGAATCCCCAGCTTCACCTGGCTAGGGAGCCTCTCCTTTGGGGAGAAGGCCCCTCCCTTAGGGGTCTTCCACCTCCCTTAAGGAGGACCCTGAGTGGTGTGTTATCTGGAATAAATGCCTTTACTTGATTTGGAGACAGCCTGAATGGGGACACACACACACACTCACACCTTGGACTTCATCACAATCACTGGCGATCTAGTCTTCACTTGAATACATTCAGTAATTGCAGCAGCTAGGTGGTGGAGTCAGGAAGACTCATCTTCCTAAATTCAAATCTGGCCTCACACATTTACTATGTGTGACCCTGGACAAGTCACTTAAACCTGTTTGCCTCAGTTTCCTCATCTGTAAAATGAGCTGGAGAAGGAAATGGCAAGCTATTCCACTATCTTTGCTGAGAAAACCCCAAATAGAGCCACACAGCCCAAACAACCTACTAATGTCCATTCCACCCAGGGGCAGGTTGAATTCTTTGAAAATTTTTCCTTTTAGGTTATATTGAAGGAGTGTGTTGGCAGTGGGGAAGACAACAAAGATTCCAGTGGAATTTCAGGTTCCCAAAGATCTAAATGGAATGTGGAACACCTGGGGCATATGAATGGGTGTGGATTTATCCCAAGGGAGAGTGGGAAGGGCAGTCAAGAAGTATTGGTGAAATCGTTTTCCAAGGTATTTCTAGGAAAAGGGGAAGAGGGGCAGGAAATAAGGAATGAAAAAGGAGAGGTGGGAGATGCCACAAATAAATGGAGAGTCAGGGTTTAACCCTCATCTCTCCTCCAAGCTGGTCCCCCTGGACCTACTGCAGCTGACTCCTCCATGGTCCCAGCGCTGCGCTATTTCACCTCACCACGGCCCAGATCTTGTAAGCTCAGAACAATTAGAGGGAGCACAGTATATTGGAAAGAATTCTTGGAACAAGTCAGGAAAAATGGGTTCAAGTCCTGGACCCTGGGCTAGTCTCTCCCCACCTCCAGCCTCAGCCTCCTCAGCTGTAAAATACAGATAATACTGGTGGTTTTTTTCCCCTAGAAGGGCTTTATAGAAAAGTATTTCATAAACCTTAAGTGGGAATTATTTCCTGGCGGTCAGGAGACTATTCTATTTAATTAGTCATCCACAAGTATTTAGAAAGTGCCTGCTACGTACCACATGCTGTGCTAGGGACACACACAGACAAAATGGAGCAGCCTCTCTCCTCAAGGACCTTAGGTTCTATCAGGAGAGGCTCATCTTTAACCAAAGCGTTTCTGCTCTCCTATTGCCCTTCCACTGCTGACCCACCCAACTACTGAAGAGCCCATTTCTTCTTCTTCATAATCTAATTGTATTGATAATATTCTTTGGCTATTACTGTCCTTTCTGCACCGCTTTACAATCCAAGGAGCTGATGAGGTCTAGAGGTCTAGGAGTGCTGGGACCCCAAAATCGCAACACTCAAGTCCTGTCCGAAAGAATTCCACCTAAGCCTTCTTTCGGCCAAAGATGTGTATTAGAACATCGGTCACATTGGGCAGACTCTTGAGTCTGAACGTTAGTAAGCTATTGGCTAGATTATAAGAATCCGAGCACCATAACGGAGACAAGATGAACCTTATATACAGAAAAATTGTGGGAGGGATCTAGGAGTGGCCAGGTATTTGAGGTGACTGGAGGAAGGGTCTAAGGAGGATCTGGATGGGAGTGGCCAGCAAACTGCGGTGAACAGAACTCCTGGGACCTGAACCACTTGGCCAAGGGAGAATGCAGCCTAGCTAGGATTAAGAGTGGGAGAAATGGCCAGCGGCCATGAGTAGGTAAAACAATGGAGGGCTAGGCTAGATTAAAGGTAACAGAATTGTGAGATTGGGTGTAGCCACAACGAAAGGCCAATTGATGAGATTATAGCCTCAGGCAAACCTCAGAGATCTTCCTTTTTGGGGTCTAGCTCCCATCCTCATCAGACCATCTCCACTAACTCAGAAATGTTGTGACGCTCAAATGAGTTAATATTTGTAAAGCATTTTGTAAACCCCAAAGCACTACCAGCTATTGCTATTATTATTATTATTATTTTACTCTCCAATCACCTGGCTTCTAATGTGGTTTTGACCTCATTCCCTGAGCCTTCCACTGCATTCCTGCTGAGCTCAAGCAAAATTTATCAAGCAGTACTGGTGTATACTAGTAAATGTTTAACAACCAGGTTGAAGTAAGGGAAGAAATGTATGCAAGATGCATTACTAAGTTTAATGTGCAGTGTTAACATTTAAGTTGAGGAAATCAACAAAACAACAAACCCAAGCTCTGACTTGTAGTGATGGCCAATTTCTGAGATACAAATGCTCACACTAAAAAAATCTAATAATCAAGAGCTGAGAGCTGGTTAGAACTGATTCCAGCATATTCCAGCATACCCCCCAGGGTAAGGAAAGCTAGGCATCCACTGGTGGGAGTAGGGCAAGGGACAGGTTTCTGAAGCAAGGGAGCCAGGCCAGCCTTGGAAGGTCAAGAGACTCACAGAAGATAAAAGGAAGATGAAAGCCCAGTGGCCAGAGACAAAAGGGGTGCTTTGGACTGGTTCCTAGTAGGAACTGTTGCCCAGAAAGCTGATCAGATCAGAAAGATGTAAAGGTTTGAGTTTTATCCTAAGGCTTAAGAATAAGAAGCCACAGAGCCCATAAGTTCAAAGATTTATGAACCATTTCTGGATCTGCAGCCTTTGACAGGTCTTAGTAATTTACCACCCATCCCCATCCCTTAATGCATTTCTGTAGGGTTTTAAACGATTTCCAAATGTTTATTTTTATGATGAAAAAAGAAGTCACCTAGGAAGATTTGGGTTTCTATTTACCCCATTCACTTACTAGTTCTGAAACCCTGGGAAAATCACCAAACCTCCTGACACCACAATATCTCACCTGGAAAATGAGAAAAATTGGTTTTGATGACCTCTGAGGTCCTTTCCAGATTTCCATCTAAAATCTTGTGAATGACACGAGTTAGGTAGTGCTAGTATCTTTATCCTTGTCTGGCAGATGAGGAAGTGGATGCAAAGTGGTTTGCTTAAGGACACAAGAAGGGGGCAACCGTGGGGCTGTGACCTGGGGAAGTGAGGACTAAATCCCAATTCTCAACTTCAAACTCAACTCTTATATTCCACCTCCACCCCCACCTCCCCTGTTTTTCTTCCATAAAACTTAAGATCTCACAGAGGGAACTTAAACTCAAGTCTTCTGACTCTCAGTCCTGAACAACACTCAAACCCCTCCCCCACCATGGTCTGATAGGAGAATGGTAATTCTTTTATTCCAGAAAACTGCCCTCCCCCAAGGGATTGGAATTGGCCCACCAGGATGTATGGCTACAGTTTTCCATTTCCAATACTGAGCATAATGCTTGTAAGGGTTTAATGAATACTTTTTCATTCATTCATTCATTCAGGGACAATTTCCCTGACCCTTTAATTTAAAAGCCCATCAGAAGAATGGCTTCTTCTGCAGCCCTGGAAAAGAGAGACACTTTGCCCACACCCACAGTGCTTCACCCATTATGGTTTTCAGAGATTGGTTTCAAACAGGAGGAAATAGGTGGCTGTATAGAAAGATTAAACACTTCATATTTATTGACAGTAAAAGATAGGAGGAGGTAGGTCTGGTGATCAGCACAGGCTAAATTTCAGAGGGCTATATTTGGGGCTCAGCAAGCCCCTCTTTTCCTCCCATTCTCCATTTCAATCAACCCAAACAGATCTCTTCACCACTGCCAAAGGTGTCCTCCATGCCCTTTCCCCACTTTCAACAGATAGCATTTGTCTGGGAATCAGAATATTCCAAGGGCCTCTGGAAGGGAGGGGTGGGGTGTGCCATCCAGGCCATACCCTGAGAATTAAAAAAATTAATAAATTTGGCCACTGTATTTAAAAAAGACTTAAGAAAAATTGTAAGGTTGGGCTATCCCCCATCCTGGGGTGGTAAAGGCCGGTGGCCTGAGAGCGGAGAAGTCCCCTGCCTGCCCTTGCCTCAGAGGGTCTTGCCTCTGCCCTCTGAGATGACATCCTCAGGCCGGGCACGCATGTACCACTCCACCCAGGCTCCATCATAGATGGCCACATCAGGCTTGCCACAGAGATACGCACCCAGGGCTACGTGGCAGGCAGTAACACCTGAGCCACAAGTTGCCACCAGGGGCTTTGAGAGGTCCACCTTCTTCTCTTGGAACAATCTTTGGATGGCATCAGGGCTCTTCTCCAGGCCCTCCTCAGTCAGGAAGTCGGTGAAGGGGATGTTCAAGGTGCCAGGGATGTGGCCAGGTTCAATGCCTAAAGGAGGAAAAGAAACATTCAGTGGGAGGTAGGAAATAGCAGGAGTGGGAAGATGGGGAAAGTCAGAGGAGCTGGGCTGGAATCCCGGCTTTGCAGCTAACTGCCTATGCCTCAATGCTTAGCACAGTGCCTGGCACATTGACTGACCACCCCCTTTCTGGGCCTCAGTTTCCTAATCTGTAAAATGAAGTGGTTGGGATTATAAAATCACAAATCCAGAGCTAGAAGGGATTTCAGTGGTCATTTAATCCAACCAGTTCATTTTACAGATGAAGAAGTAAAGGCCCAAGATAGTGATTAACTATCCTGAGGTCACATAGGCTATAGGGACAATACATCAAGAAGTGGAAAAAGATCTCAGAGATTCTTTAATCCAACCCTTCTTTTATGGATGTGAAAAAAAAGAAAAGAGGTCCTTTCTGATGGTTCCTTCTATTGGTTTTAATTTTTACTTACAACACCACTAATGTGAAAATGTTTAATAAAAATGTAAATGTATAGCCCATATCAGATTGTGCGCCATCTTGGGGGTGGTGGTGGGGAGGAAAGGGGAGAAAAATTTTAAACTCAAAAGCATATGGAGGTGATTATTGATAACTCAAAATAAATTAATAAATTTTAAAAAAAATTACCTAAACAGTAGCTTGAAGGTCAAAGCAATCAGATTTTTAAAAAAAGAAAAAAAAAGAGGGTGGGGGAAGGTAAGTGACTTTCGTAGAGTCACAGAGAAAATAACTGAAGGTTTTGAACTCAGGTCCTCTGACTTCAGAGCCAGTAGTCTTTCCAAATTGCCTGCCCTGTGGAGGAGACAAAGGGACTAGTTCTGGATCCTAAAATAAAATCTGAAGGGAGATGGTAAAGGAATACTATTGTGCTATAAGAAATGACGAGCAAGATGCTCTCAGAAACCTGGGAAGATTTAGCTGAACTGATGCAAACTGAAGGGAGCAGAACTAGGAGAATATTATATGCAGTAACAGCAACATTGTAACAACGATCAATTGTGAAAGACTCAGCTACTCTGATCAAAGCAATGATCCAAGACAATTCCAAAGGACCTGTGATGAAAAATGCTACCCACCTCCAGAGGAAAAACTGATGAACTCGATGTAGATAGAAGAATATTTTTAAAATGTCTATGTTCATTGTTTTATTTTGCTTGTTTTCTTTTGCAACATGGCTAATATGGAAATGTGTGTTGCAAGACCTTACAAGTACAAACAAAATTAAATTACTTGCCTTCTCAAAGCAGGGGGTGGGGCAGGAGGGAGGGAGAGAATTTGGAACTCAAATTTTTAAAAAAATATTGTTAAAAAATTTTTATCCGTAGGGGCAGCTAGGTGGTGCAGTGGATAGAGCACCAGCCCTGGAGTCAGGAGGACCCGAGTTCAACTATGACCTCAGACACATGATGCTGACTAGCTGTATGACTCTAGGCAAGTCACTTAACCCCAATTGTCTCACCAAAAAAAAAATGTGTAAGTAATTGGGAAATATTTAACAATATAACTTTTTTTAAAGGGGGAAAAAGAATAAAGAACATGGTCTGGCAGAGGAGCAAACTGGCTTTGAGTGGACAAGGTCTGAGGATTAAGGGTGGGAAGGGACTTTAGATACCATTTTATCAACCCCACCTCATTGCCGGAGAACAGGAGGGCCTTTCCTAAATTCCTGTAGGTTGCAGGTGTCAGATCCACCCAGTTCTCTGACTGAAATTCCCCAGGATACTTTTCACTAGACCCAAGTGCCTAAAGAGGGAGCAGGGCTGGGGGGGGGGGGGCGGCAGCAAGGGGCCAGCTGCTTTCATCAAAGATTGAAGGACTGACTGACTGGTAAGGGATCATGAGACTAGTATAAGACAGACCAAAGAATCACAGAGCTGGAAGAGACTTCAGCGGTCCTCCATATCACCTGGTGCTGAAGCAGCAACCCAGCTCCAATATCCCTGACCAGCAGCCATTCAAACATCCATCCGCTTAAAGACCTTGACTGCTGGAGAGATATTGCCCCGTGGCCTGCTTGTTGAGTGGAATGGAGGCAGAGTAATTAACCTGGCAGTCAGAGAGTACCTGGAGTCTTAGACCTGGTCCTCTGGCCTTCCCTTTTCTGATCCTCATTTCCCAGCTCCACAAAATGAGGATGATGTTTACAAATTATCCACCTCACAGAGTGGCTGCGAGGCTGAGTCAGCATGTAGTAAAGTGCGAATGAAATGACTGTGACTCTTGTGCTGGTGTTTAGTCCAGTCCCCGGCACAGAGAAATAAGTGTTAGCTTGACTGTAATCTTTGATGTTATAAATTAAGTAAACAATAACTTAATGAATAAATAACAAATAGCTAACAACTAATCATATAGGGATTTAGAGTTTACAGAGCCCTTTAGGTTTATCTAATTCATTTGAAACTTCTGACAGCAAGGGAGGTACTATAATTGTTATTCTTATTTATTAATATTATTATAGATGAAGAAACTGAGGCAAGCAAAGACAAAATGACTTTGATTCCAAGACCAGAAGCCTCTTAGCTGGGTGGTACAGTGTTGAGCGGGGGACTGGGAGTCAGGAAGACCTGAATTTGAATCCTGCCTCAAATGCTGTAGTGCGACCCTGGGCAAGTCCTGTCACCCCGCTAGGCCTCATTTGGAATCCATGGCCCCTGAGGGCCCTTACAACCCTAGGACTCTATGATATAGATTATTCTGGGAGATAGTGGACTCCCCATCTTTGGAAGTCTTCAAGGATAGGCTTAACCTCTACCTGACTCATTGGGTAAATTGTAGAGAGAATTCTCATACAGGTGTGGGTTATATTGGCTTAATGCATAGAGTGCTGGGTCTGGAGTTGGGAAGACTAGGGTTCAAATCTCAGAATTATTAGTTATGTGACCCTAGGCAAGTCACTTGACACTTCTCTGCCTCAGTATCCTCACCTGTAAAATGGGGGAAATAATTGCACCTCCCCCTCAGAGCCGTTGTGCCGATCAAACGAGACAATATTTGTAAGGGGCTTGCATGGTATGTGGCATACAGTAGGCAGGCACTTAAGGAATGTTTCCTTCCTCTCTTCCTTATTTCTTCTCTCTCTCCCTCCCTCTTCCTTCCTTCCTTCCTCCCTCAGCACTGAGAGTCTGTAATTATTATTGCCACACAGTTGCTCCTTTAATTTAGACAATGAGGAAACATTAATTAAATATCCTCAAAGGTTTAAATAACCTACAGAATGTAGTGCTATCAGAGGGGGTCTGTGACCCACAGAAATGGAGGACGTAGGAACCAAGACAGTACTCCAGGCCTTGAGTGGAGGCATGCCAAGTATCTGGACCATCCAGCCCAAGCTCTGGGCCAGAAAGAAGACTCCAAGGGGTCCCCGCTGTCATGGAATTTAAAGATCTAGCAGAACTTCACTGTCTGCAGTCATCCTCGCTGAAGGCCTTCTAGGCGTATAGGTGACTCTGATTCCAGAAGGCTCTGCTAGTGCTACGTAGGCACAGTCCAAAAGTAGGGGCCCGGTGGTGTGCACCTGCCATCTGAGGACCAGCCTGGCTACCAAAGACATCTCATATTGGGGGGCAATAAGGTACAGAGGGCATGTGGACAACTCCACTCCCCATTCCAGGGACTCCTCGGACCCAGGCTCCCCTCCGCGGACATCACTGCCCTCTAGGTGGTGACACCCCCTTTCAGAACAGAAGTGTCGTGAGGGCAGGAGCTGTTTACGTCATGGTTTATATCTCCCAGGTTCTTAGACTAATGCCTGGCACGGAGTAGGTCCATCAATGTTCAGCTATTCTTTCATCCCCACTTTACACATAAGAAAACTATAGCTCATAGTGGCTCAAGGCAGGTGAAGCCAAGACATACCAGGAACAGTTTTGGGTCTGAGGATCTGGGTTCAAATTCTGGCTCTGTTTCTTAAAACCTGGGCAGCTAGGTGGCACAGTGCATAGAACACCCAGCCTAGAGTCAGGAAGACTCATTTTCCTGAGTTCAAATCTGACCTCAGACACTTCTGTGATTCTGGGCAAGTCACTTAACTGTGTTTTGCCTCAGTTCCTCATCTGTAAAATGAGCTGGAGCAAGAAATGGCAAACCATGCAGTGTCTTTGCCAAGAAAATCCCAAAAGGGGTCTCAGAGAGTCAGACATGACTGAACAACTTACCACTCAGATGACTTAGGACAAATCCTATCTCCCCTCCAAGCCTCAGTTTCCCCATCTGTAAAATGGGGACAATAAGTAGCCCCTTCCCCACAGGGTTGCTGTGAGGATCAAGTGAGCCTATGGATATAAAGCTAGAGAAAGATGGCCATGCTCATTACTATCACTGTTGCTATCACTCTCTCACATTGACCCCCAGTTTCTCTCAATCCCGTGTGCTTCTGGGCACTCTAGCTCCAGTTGGACAACTGAAGCGTCCAGCAGGCAGCACTGGACAAACCACAGGCCATGAACATAAGACAGTGAGCCATCACCCTGTTCTCTCCCAATCCGTGTGTTCAGCAGCAAACACACGCCCTGTGACAGCTGTCCTGGCCCAAGTTAAGAGCTCTCCACCACCCCAGCCAGCATGTCTATGGTACTTGAAGGCTTGCAAATCACTTTACATGAGTTATCTTATTTACGGAGGAGAAGATGAATTGGTGGCAAGGGGGATGGAACCCAACTGGGACAATACTTGATGGCAAATGGGATTGTCTGTAGGCACTTGGGCTCAAAGCCTCTATCAATAAAATGAGGGGGTTGGCATAGATAGTCTCCAAGGCCCCTTCCAGTTTTGATTTCATGTCACATTCCCTCTCTGGGCTTCAGTTTTCTCATCTGTAAAATGGCAGGGCTGGATTTGCTCTGAGATCCCTTCCAGCTTCAGAGCCATGATTTTATGGTTTATTTTGATTGTGGGATTTGGAATGGAAAAGGGACTCTAGGAAATCCCCCAAGATATCACGTGGTACTATGGAAAAAGTAATAGGGTTTGGAGTCAAAATACCTGGATTCAAATTCTAGTTTTTCCTCCTTACTACTTTGTGTGACCTTGGCCAAGTCACTTGAACCCCAGGGGCTTCAGGTTCCTCCACTATAAGACAAGGGGGTTGGACTAGTGGCCTCTAAGGGCCTTTAGAGCTCTAAACTTAGGATCCTGGTCCAAACCCCCTCTTCCTCCCCCTCATTTTACAGAGGAAAAAACCAAAGAGCAGATTGAAGAAATGAGTTGGGTCCGATCACCCAGGTAGGAAAAAGAGCTGAGATTTGACCCTAGGTCTTTCGACTGCAAATACTGTGTGATCTTTCTGCCACCTCCCTCAGCTCCACCTGGCCATAGAGGGTGCCCTAGCTATATTACCTTCCCGGGGTTCTGGCTCAATGCCCCTGAAGCGCCCTTCAACACGAGCATCTACAACCTGCAACTGGTGTGATTCAATGTTGTCTTTGATGTCTTCATAGGTCTTCACAAACGTCGGGTTTAGGGTGGCCTGGAACTCTGCTTGAATTGGGCGGGCCCTGCCAGAGCTCAGCGGATAGCCCTCCCGCTTCCAGTTCCTTAATCCTCCATCCAGCAGTGAGACAGTCTCGTGCCCAAAGGCCCTGAACATCCACCATAGTCGGGGGGCGGAGAAGGAGCCCTGGTCGCTGGCATCGTACACCACCACGTGGGTGCCATTCCCCACCCCCAGCTTGCCAACATACTCGGCGAACTCTGCCGCATTGGGCAGCATGTGGTCGTAGGGGGACGTCTGGTCGCTGCAGAGGTCGATGTCGAAGAAGGCTGCTCCAGGGATGTGACCTTCTTCAAACTCCTGCCGAGGGTCTCGTTCCAACTTTGGCAGGTACCATGAAGCGTCCAGCAGCTTCAGGGGCTGGGACTCCTTCAAGGACTTAGCCACCCACTTGGCTGATACCAGAGCTCTAAAGAGGGATCGTGCAGCCATGATGCCTGGCTTTTGGCCAGCTTCTGTCTGACTCGAGGTCTCCTGGGACCCTCTAGACTAGGTAAAAAGAAAGAAAAGAATGAAGTCATTGTAGGTAGGGAGGTGGTTAAGCATACAGAGTGCTAGAATCCATTTGTAACTTGTGATATCAAGAGCCAGGGAGAGCAGAACAAAGGGAGAGAGAGAGAAGAATGAATGAAAGGAAGGAAGAAAGGAGGGAGGGGTGATTAGAGTCCAGTAAAAACACTACACAGCAAATAACCAGCCTCAATGAACTCAGAGTGCTGACTTAGCAAAGTCACCCTGTCCCACTCTCGTGGCCTCAGCCACAGAGATTAGAGAGACCGTCATTCCCCTGAGACAAGGGAGTCAGGATACCTGTATTACTTGGGGCAGATAACAGCTCTTGACTCCAAAGGGTCATCTAGTCCAATCTTTTCATTTTACAAATGAGGAAACAGGCCCAGAGAGCTAAAGTAGCTCACCTAAGGTCCCACAGGAAGTGTCAGAGCCAGGACCTGAACCCAGGCCCTGATTCCAGATTCAGCCTTCTTCCCCCTGTGCTATGTCCCTAGTGGGCAATCTGGGGAAATCAGGATTCCATGGGCCACACTGGTTCTATGTCATGAAGAGGCAGGCAAGAAGGCAGATATAGACACTTTCCCTCCCAGTATGCTGTAATGGCAAGAGTTGAGGATGTGATCCCCTGGGCAGTGGTGTTCCTGAGAGCAGAGACATCACTCCCTATGATTTCCTTGGCACATCTGGTGACGAGACTCAGAGTGCCAGAGAAGGGTAGTGACTTACCCAAAGCTATGCAGCACTTTCTTAGCAGAGACAGGACTAGATTGGCCATTAGAGGCTAGACTGTACACATGAGGGAACCAGCCTTGCCCATGTCCTCCTGAATGCCAACCACATGCCCTAAGGAATGCAATTCCTCTTCTGCCACTTCCCCCCTCTACCTGGGTGACTGTGGGCAAATCCTTTCTCTCTAGGGCTGTTTCCCAGTTCTGTAAATGAGGGGGTCTGAATAATCTTAATAATTGCCAAGACCCATCCCCATTCTGACATATTATATCTATATTTCTAATCCTGATAATCTTCTAATCTAATGTTCTTGCCTTCGCTGACAGTCTAAGTGCTAAGGCTGTTCTCAGTGCTGATATTTTAAGTTCCAATGACCCTCCCAGCATAATTCAGTCAAGTTCCCCAAGAATCTGTTAAAAGCTTACACTGTTTCAGGTGAAAAGGAGGATAGCATAGTAGGCAGAGACCAAGAGTCAGGAAGACCTGGTTCATACTGGCTAGGTGACCCTGGGCAAGTCACTTCCTTTCTTCATGCTCCCAGGTAGATTTTCTAAGACTACAAGATGCTGAGCAGGTATAGGCAATAATAATAATAGTAGTTAACATTTATATGTGCCAGGCACTGTGTTAAGCACTTTACAAATACAATCTCACTTGATCCTCACAACAAGCCTTTGGAAGGAAGGTGCCATTATTATCCCCATTTTACAGATGAGGAAAACTGAAGCAAACAAGAGGTGAAATGACTAGATCTGAATTAGTAGAAGAGGAGTTTCCTCAGAATTCTTTACATCAAAAAAACCACGAGTCTGTCAAAAAAAAAAAGGAGGGGGGAAGAACATTTGGAGGAGGAAGCCTCACTGACTTTGGACTCAGATTCAAATTCCGCCTCCTTCACTTAACATCTGTGTGACCTAGACTAAGTCACTTTAACTGTATGAGCCTCAGATCCCCCAGTGTAAAATGAGAGAGTTTGACCTGATGACCTCTCCTGTTTATGCTCCTATGACCTCCACCCAAATCCCAGTTTATCCATTCCTTGTGTGACCTGAGGCTCAGTCACTTCACTGTGGCTGGTGACTACAATAACACTTACATAGTGCCTTACTTACACTATCTTTGACTCTCACAACAATCCTGAGGTAGATGCAATTATCTTCATTTTATGGTGAAGAAACTGAGGCTCAGAGAACTTAAGTTATTTGTCGAGAGTTACACAGAACCAAGTGTTTGAGGCAGGATTCAAACTCAATTCTGTCTGATCAGAGTCCACCATTCTACTGTAGGCAATGGGGACAGGAAAACCAAACAGAAAAATCAACCAAACAAAATGGCCATAGTCCCTGCCCTGCTCTGAAGGAGCCAACATTCCATTCAGGAGGATATATACATATACACATGCACACACATACACACGTATGTAAATACACATACATGTATGCATATAGAAGATTAAACACAAATTTTTTTTAAAAATGAGCCTAGGATTTCTTTGAGGTAGGGAGCTCCTCCTGATAAGAATGCTCCCTCTACTACCATGCACCCCGACCTGCCTAAATACAAACCACATGCAAAGGAAATCCAGTTGTTTCTTGGGAGAGGGGGCGATCCTGGAAAAGGTGGTACCTGAGCCTGCTCAGCCATGTACTGCTCCTAGATCAGCTCAGTGTCCCTCCCTGGATGGGTTCTCAGCAAGTCTGGGTGTTGCTTTCTGCTCCCTTATTAAGGATGGTCAGGAAAGGTTAGCTTAAGCTTAGCCAACACCCCCTACACACCCAGGCATATCCTTATTCTCAAAAAGTAGGTAAAGGAGTAAGGGAGTTTAAGAACGAGGCCTGGAACCCAGGGCCATGGATTTCAAAGCCACCATTCCACACCTACAAGCTGTTTTTTTGTTTGTTTGTTTTTCATAGACAGGGGCATGGAACTTGTGAGGTGGTCTGGAACTGAAATCCCAGAGACTGACTCAGAAAAGGAAATAGAAACCAAGAAAGGGAAAGGGGCTCATCCCAGGGTTCATGAATAGTAAGTAACCAACATACAATTTGAGCTCACTCTGACTCCAAACCCTGTGGGATGATTTCTAAATTCTCTTCCAGATCTCAGTCCTGTTAGTCTATGGATTTAGAATCCAGAATTAGAGCTGAAAAGGTCCCCAGGGGCAAGGTAGCTCAACCACCCCAATTTACAGAGACCCAGAACAAGTGAGTTGCCCAGGGTTACATTGCTGCAGCAGTAGGCACAAAGATTTAGAGGTGGACGTGACCTCAGAAGCAATCTACAAATGAGGAAACTGAGGCTAGAGAGGCGATCCGGGAATCAAACCCGGACCTCCTGAAGCTTGCTTCTTTCTTTGGCTATCACAGGAGGGGTCCCAGGCCTCCCTCGGGAGGGAGTCCCAATTCCTGGTGCTGATAAAGGGGGCCCAGTGGGGTAGAGGGCTGAGAAGGGTTTACTAGCATCATAGGATTTTCCGACTTCCAGATGTCTTAGAGAGTATCTAGCCTGGTTCCCATTTTACAGAGTAGGCAAAGCTGAGCCTCAGCGGTCACCTGATTTGCCCAAGGTCACACAGCTCAAGTAACAGAGCAGAGGTAGTTTGCAAACCCGGCCAGGGCCTCTGCCTGCTAAGTCAGAGCTCCCAGCACCTCTAAATGGCTGCCCCTCTCTCCCCGGGTTGAGAATAGCCCTGGACGAACACTAGTCCCAGGGCGCACCCAGTTAGCTCCCAAAAAACCAGTAACGTATATGGGCGAAGGGGTCATTCGGCGCTCAGTTCCTGGGCTTCCGGTTACTCCCCCATGGCTAGCCGTGTCAGTCTAGGGGACGGTAACCCTGCCCTCCAGCACCCCCGGCTCCTTTTCCCAGTCTACGTGCCACTGGTGGCCCTGGGGAAGTGCCAGAGCCCCCGGGCGCTCGGATCCTTCTGGGGTCAGAAGCGCGGGGGTTTTGGCACCGTGGACAGGGGTACAGGCTAGGCGTCCTTCCTCAAGGGCAGGGGCCGTAAGGGAAAGGAGGGAGAGAAAATAAGGAACCTCGGGGGGGCCGAAGAGAGAGTCGGGGGCCCAGCACCCACCCCACACACGTCCTCACTCACCACAGTAGGGGCCGCCCCACGCTGACGACTTCTCCGCCCCTTCGCCTGCGACGGCGACGCTAATGGGCTGGGCCCAGAGCGCAGGAAGGAGGGGTCCAAGGGCCGGGCAAGCGGCGAGGGAGGGACAGAGGCAGGGCCCAGACTAGGGCGTCCCTTTTTGAACAGGCTAACTTTATTGAACCGAGGAGAGAGAGGGAGTGGCAGGCGGCAGGCCGGCGAGGGGACTGTAGGGGAGGAAGGCACTGACTTGTCTGGCGGCCGGGACCCACTGAGGCAAAATGGAAAACAAGGGGAAACCGGCTCAAAGACAAATGGGGTGGGTCCGGGGCACCTGGAGGATAACACCCCTCACTCCCAACACCACCTCCCTTGGACAGGGCGGGAAATGGGGGTCCGTGGAGGGAAGAGGACTTACCCGAAGTCATACAGCTAGGCTCCAGCCGAGGCAGAATTTCCAGGTCAGGTTCACGCCGTGCGGATCCGCGGCTCTGGCCACGGCTCCCAACCACCTCTCCAGAGGTCCAGTGAGGGGGAGGAGTGAAGAGGAGCGGAGAAGGGGGAGGAGGAGCAGAGAGGGAAGGGAATGCCACAGTCCAGGGCCGCCGCAGACCAGAGGCCAAGGTCCCCCCCTAATCCCCCACCCCCACCTTCCTGCACCTCCTGCCTTAGCTAATTTTCTCTGGGTTGGAAGTTTCTGGAAAGTGGAGCTTTGAGCCTAGGTCAGGGCCAAGTGTGTCCCACCAGCTGGCGGGTTACCTATAAAAAAATGTAGCCGGGAAGTGGGGCAGGAATCAGGGAGAGGTGCCACGATCTCTCCTCCCCCTCCAACTGGGGACGCTTTGGGGAGAGGGCTATTTCTGAAGCTGGGCCTGCCTCTCACAGGGGCTTTTGTTCGGGGCTGGCTGCAGCTGTCCCTTGGCCAGAGCCCAGGATGTGGTTCAGCTTTTTACTGATTTCTCTTAGTAACTGACTGCTCCCTGCTTTAAATCAATCTCCCCCTCCCCAGCCCTTCAGCTGGGCTACCTACCCCCTGTCACTACTCCTCTCCTTTTCCTCTTCCCCTGGCTCCTTCTCTTTCTCTGGGACGGGAGGAGGGGCAAAACCCACGCACAAAACCCACATACATACACACTTGCATGTACGGAGTCCCAGTCACAGCCCAGGCAAATTCAACTCTTCCAACTCTCAAGGGGCCCCAAGCCCCAGAGCAACCGCCGGGGATTGGCTGCTAAGGTGGGAGGGGTCTGTCCTGGGATAAAGTCGAGGGCCAAGCCTGAGCAAGGCAGCCACCTTTCTCTCCTCCCAGGGGCCAGCCTGGGTCTAGTGGGTGAGGGGATAACCCATCAGGCCCCGCCTCCTTTCCCCCCTCCCCTCTCCCTGGCAACCTTCCTTCATCTTCCAGCTCCAGACCTCCCAGCTCCCAGTGTTGTGCTTCTCCCTCCCCTAGGCAGAAGGCTCTAGGATCCCGCCATGGTACAGCAACAGGTGCTCTACCGGGCTCTGGTGTCCACCAAGTGGCTGGCTGAGTCGGTCCGCGCCCGAAAGCTGGGCCCTGGCCTGAGGGTACTCGACGTGTCCTGGTACCCACCTCGGCAGCGCAATGCTCTCCAAGAATACCAGCAGCGCCATATCCCAGGCGCCTCCTTCTTCAACATCGAGGAGTGCCGGGACCAGCAGTCTCCCTACGAGATGATGCTACCCAGCGAAGCTGACTTCGCCAGCTACGTGGGTCGTCTGGGCATCAGCAACAGCACGCACGTGGTGGTGTACGACGGTGACGATCTGGGCAGTTTCTACGGCCCTCGAGCTTGGTGGATGTTTCGGGTCTTCGGCCACCGCACCGTGTCGGTGCTCAATGGGGGCTTCCGAAACTGGCTGCAGGAAGGGCACCCGGTGACCTCGGAACCCACGAACCCCGAGCCCGCGGTTTTCAAAGCCACACTCGACATGTCCCTGCTCAAGACGTACGAGCAGATGGTGGAAAATCTCGAGTCCAAGCGCTTCCAGATGGTGGACTCCCGCTCCCGGGGAAGGTACCTGGGGACAGAGGCCGAGCCTGACAGCAAAGGTAAGCTGTGGGGTGAGTAGACTGGCTTGGGTCCCTCTTTTCCCCAGACACATTTTCAACAGCTGCAAGGCTGCCCGAGCTTGGTGGTCGCTTGTGCCTCGTAGCAGGCCAGTGGGTTAAGAGATCTTCAGAGACAAGCCCCACACCGGCTGCCCCCCGTGTTGCAGAGCAGGAAGGGGAGGCTCAGAGTGGTCAAGGAACTTACCCAAGGTCACACAGCAGAAAGTGAAAATGCTAGAATTTAACCTCAGGTCTCACTACAAGTCCACCTGTCCCCCTCCCCTCCGTGGTGCCTCTTGATTACCATAGGCTCATAGACTTACCCATTCATCTTATAATTTAGGAAACTGAGGTGCGCAGAGTTCAAGTGACTTAGCCAAGGACCCACCTTGTCCAGCACTTTTCCTACAGGACCCTGATTGTCTCTAACTGATTCTAGTTTCATAGGCATTTAGAGTTGTAAGCTGCCTTGGATCACTACACCCCTTGCAACCTTAACCTGAAGAGGAGGGAAAGAGCCAGACATCAAGTGACTTGCCCAAAGTGACTTGGATGGTTAAGTGACAGAGAGGGTGGGGACTATTTACTCATCTGACTCCACTTCTCCTAACACAGTATAATACAGCTCTGCTCACCAACAATGGACTCATTCCTTTGGAGACACTCCCAAGTCCAGAACTGTCTTGAACCTTGATATGCAAATGATCCATGTGTCCAGCAACAGACTTTCACTGAGAACCTGCTAACCAGAGCATTCCCCTAAAGACCTCCTCTGATGCCTCACTGTGATGTGCCAGTGACTCTGGCTTTCCAAGATTTTGCCAGTGGTTCCCAAGCTCTAGCTAGACCTACCAACTCAGGCTGTTAAGTCTCATATGCGAGGATCAGCCCCCTAAGTTCCAAGAGATTCCCCATCAAGTTGGCCACAGAGTGTTAATTAATTTCATTTTAATTATTTAAAAAGTACGAACTTAGTCATCAACACATTTGAAGAACAGAAGAGGGCATTGATTTGTAGTGTATGAAGCAGGATGTTGGATTTCTCAGACATGGCAACTCTTTCCCAAGTCGTAAAGAGATTACAATCTGAATCAGTGGAGGCAAGACCCACACTGACCATTACAGATTGGTGTAATATTGAATTATTGTGTGCCCTGTGCTAAGGGCTGGGGGAAAGATAGGGTTCATATGAAACAAGATCTTTCCTTACACTCATGGCTTCTGGTCTTCTGCTCGGATGTGTCAGAAATGGGCAAATAGAGTGTGTTCAGTCGTGTCCAACTCTTCGTGACCCCATTGGGAGTTTTCTTGGCAGAGATATTGGAGCAGTTGGCCATTTCCTTCTCCAGCTCCTTTTTACAGATGAGGAACTGAGACAAACAGGGTTAGGTGACTTGGCCAGGGTCACACAGCTAGTAAGTGTCTGAGACCAGATTTGTGGAGTCTTCCTGACTCCAGGCCCAGCACTCTAACCACTGTACTACCTAGTCAGTACAGATTAGGGTTGTTAGGAATTTTAGAAAATGAATACAGAATATAAAAGGCAGGCAATTGGTGGCAACAGTTATGAACAAAGGCAAAGCAGTGGGAAAGGGAAAGGGGTGTAATTGGGTGGGAGATGTTGAACACTCCAGTTTGGCTGGAAAAATGGAGTATGTGAAGGAAAACAGCATGAGAGAGGGCTGGAAAGGTAAGGAGCTGAGAGCTTGACTCTGGGCAAGTTCACCTTCCTGAACCTCACTTTCCACATCTGTAAAATGGGCCGGAGACCTTCTAAGGATACTACCCAATCTGAATCCATGATCCTGTGAGTGGAGGGCCTTCAGCCTCTAACTAAGGAGTTTGAACTTGAAACTTGGTAAGTGGAAGAAACCTTTGAAGACATCTATGGGGGGTTTGGACCTGATAGTCATGGAGCTCCCAGGTCTGGAGAGCCTAAGGGACTTAATGTAGCTGTGATTGGAACCATATCCTCTAGATACAAATCCAGAGCTCTTTTCATTGGGTTGTGCTGATGCTCTCCCACCCACCTCCCTTTTTCTCCCCAAACAAAACATTGTCCAAACAGAATGCTTCTGGGACCTGGCAGCTTCTCCCCCACTCTAGGCTAAAAATCCATCCCGACTAGGCTCGGTAATCCAGAGAGAGTTATTTTTTTGTCCTTGGAACCTATCCAGTTCCTCTCTCCTACCTAGAATGAAAGTTGACTTGGATCTCTGATCCTTCTTTCCCCCAGCCCCAAATCTCTTTCAAAAAATCTTGGGAAGACATAAACACACTGCCTGATCTTCACACCCCCGAAGCCTAGACAAGGGGCGAATGGCAATTTTACAAGAGGAAGGCAGGAGCCAAAGGAATTGTGCCCAGTTTGCCTCCCCCCCCCACTTGCTGGGGCAGTCATTCAAGGGAAAGGAGGGAGATTAGGATGTTCCTGGCACCGGGCCAGGCTTCTTACAGGGAGTGGCATAGAATCTATGGGGGCTGTAGAAAAGCTTGAGTCAGCTGGGGCCAGAGATCTTGTCCAATAGAGCCTATAAGCACCTTCACAATAGGTTCTGTTTATTGTTGTCTCTTTATTCCAGCAGCCTGTTTGTCACAGGGCTTTACACCTGAGTCCGAGCCTATGATTTAATTGCTCAAAATGCCATCCAGGTGTGGAAATTCACTCCATAGACACAGATTGGTAGAACTCTTAGCTTCCTTCCAAACTTATTCCCCTCCCAAAAATTACTTTGCATTTACTTTATATCTGCTTCATATCTGCTATATAAGCTGTCTGAGAAGAGATAGTGTTTCATCGTTGTATCTCCTGTACCTAGTTGCCTAGCGAAAGGTCAGACATAACAGAGGTTTAATAAGAGAATGTTCAAGCGTTGCTGGGGGACTTTGAGCTCATTAAGCAACTAGTCCCCATAGAAATGTTTGCTGTTTATTGTTGTCTCAGTTAAGAGGCACTGTAGTAACTGTGGAAAGAACCTTGGCTTTGGAGAGTAAGAGGACTTGAGCAAATTCCATCTCTGATGCTCCAAACCTAAGTGACCTTGGTCAGGTCCTTTCCCATTTCCTGCACTGTAAAACTATGAGATTAGACTAACTGACCTCTGAGGCTCTTTCCTGCCCTAGAGCTAAAATCCTGTGTGCTGTGAATCCCTTCCTCTTTGTCCCTGATGGGAAACTACCTAGCCCCTGCTTGGACTTTTCCAAGAATGGGAAAGGGGTTTTTAAACCCTAGAGTCCATAGAATACTTTGATAGATAATTTGATACAAAAATACTTTGAAACTTAATTGATTTTCTTTGTAATCCTATGTATTTTATTTTATGCATTTAAAAACATTCTGTAAATTGTTTCCCCAAACTCTCCTGCCATCCCCAGGACTGTCCAAAGGGGTCCAGGAGAAACAAAAAAGGTTAAGAACACTTGTTCTAGAGATATCCTTGATGCAAGCAGGGGGAAGTCTGGCTATTGCAGAATCTGCTCTATGCCCTGAGAGGAATTACTTCTTCTCCTTGGGTCTTAGTTTCCCCATCCTGCAAAAATAAAGGTTTTGTACTAGATGACAGCTCTAAGTTCCCTTGCAGCTCTGAAACCTGCCATTTTTATAAGCCACCATTCCAGGGTTCATTAGCCTCTTAGAGACCAAGCCTGAAGTTGACTTGTTTCCTGAGCTGAGGCTGAGAAATGACATTTGCACTAACATTTGAAGCTGTCTGCACCTTGAAGCTCCTTAGCTTCAAGATAATGGACAGAAAACTAGAAGGGACCTTAGAAGGATGATCAAATCCTACCCCTTTATAGGTGATGCATCGGGAAATTCATCCATAAAAGCCAGATGACCATTTGTTCAGGAAGTTGCAGAGCTGTCCTCGAAAAAATTGAGAGAGAGCCTAGAGAATTCATTGTAGCATGGTGGAAAGAGTAGTAGCCCTGGCATCAATGGACCTAGATTCAAATTCCACTTCCAATGCATACTAACTCAGTGACTTTAGACATGACACTTAAGTGTCTTTTTTTTAAGGCAGTTGGGCTTAAGTGATTTGCCCAGGGTCACACAGCTAGTAAGTGTCAAGTGTTTGGTCTGAGGCTGGATTTGAACTCAGGTTCTCCTGACTTCAGAGCTGGTGCCCTATCCACTGTGCCACCTAGCCGCCTCGACACTTAACTGTCTTGAGCCTCAATTTCTTCATCTAGGAAATGAGGGACTTTTGATAGGTGGCTACTGAGATCCCTTCCAGCTCCTCATCTATAATGTTGTCTAACACCCTCATTTTTCAGATAAGGAAACTGAAGCCCAGAGAAGTTAAGTTACTTTCCCAGTGTCATGTAGATAGCAAGTGATGGAGCCAAGATTCAAAGCCCATGTCCTCTAACTCCAAAGCTAGTCCTCCTACACACTGAATCCCTGTTAAATTCCTGGTGCATGGTGGGATCTTAGTAAGTGCTGGTTCATTGACTGATTCAGGTATGAGTTGTGCTATCTGGCCTCTGAAACCATAGAATCCTCCATCTAAAGTTGGAAGGACCCTTTAAGGCCATCTGGTTCAACTCCCTCATTTTACTAATGGGGAAAATGAGGCCCAGAGAGAAATAGCTCCATATGATCATAGATTCAGCCCAACACATTTTCTTTTTTCAGGTGATGAGACCAAGAGGGAAATAGCTTGCCTAAGGTCACACATCCACACGTGAAAGGTCAGAGCTGGCACTGAAACCCCTTCCCTGGCTCTTGTCTAGCACCCTTTTCAGTCTCCCACCCTGTTCCTGAACAGGCACTAGGCTTTGCTAGAGCTGAGTGCCAATGTACAAGTGTATCTAAGGAGTGAGAAAGGAAAAGTCACTTAGCATGGTACTTGGCACTTAGTAAATGCATATTAAATGGTTGATTAGAATCATAGGTTTAGAGATGGAAAGGATGTGTGAAGTGAAATCATCTAGTCCAACCCCCTTCTTTTTACAGAAAAGGAAACTGAAGCAGGTAGGTGGCAAAGTGGATAGAGCAC